GTGATTGCATTTGTATGCGTGCAATTGCGCAGCAAAAATGCCGGTTGGCTTTTGTTTTTGTTTGGTTTTATTGTTGTATTTCGTACGTTTTTTGTTATAATTATTATTTTGCAATTTCTTTAGAAATTGATCGAGTCTTTGCCAAGTTTTTACGGCTGTTTGCTGACAATGAGTCAATGAGGGTTGTGGAAGTAAATTACTGTTCGAGTTTCTATACTTGTACAGTTGCGATTCCATAAGTTACTCTTAAAAATAAACTAATAATTTTTGCTTTAAATATGCACTTTGTAGATATTCTTTTTTATTTGCAGCATTAAACAAATTTAAATTAAAACCTTTTTTGTTAAACCTGAAATTGTTTGACCGTAAGTGTCAAGCAATAAATCAATACAAAACGGAATTAACACACATACACTGACAGAAAAGGCGACCGACTTCGTAATAATGACGATTGAAAACTAAAAAGAAGCAGACAGCGATCTTAGCTTGGTCATTGATGAAAAAACACCGTTACGATGCAACAAAGTCATTAAATCCGGCGAGACGGCATTCCATATAATCAAGCAGAGAAAAAAATAGCCAGACAGAGAAGGAAAGAGCGATATAGAGAGAGACCAACGACCGACCGACATTTTTGCAAACTCACACAAGCCTTCGACTGTCTCCATCTCGCTCTGTCTGTCTACAAAGTAATTGATCCATTGCACTTATGATTTTTTTCTTGCTTTAGCTTTCAGCTAGGAGGTTGTTGCTTTTGTCACTGCTTTCTCTTGGCTATTGCATTCTTCTGAGAAAGTCTCGAGAGCCATATATCGATAAGTTATCGCCCTGACTAACGGTTGAGTTATATCCATCGACAATCGCTCCGCCTCTAATTTGCTTTCAATGCAAACCATTCTATAATTATATAGCCGGTTTATTCGATTTGGTATTATTATTATTTAATATAATTGTCACATGGAATGAAAACCAAAAATAGTCGTAACCGTGGCTAAAGCAGGATCTAATTCCGCACATTTTATGATCCTTTGTGCACCAAAATACATACAATAATTAGGCAAAAGTGCGGTTTTTAATTAAATTTAACAACTGAAGCATAAAAATAATCAAGTTACAACAATAATTACTTTTGTTGGCTTGTGCTCTACTACATTGCGAGTACTATACACCTGGTTTTCCTTATGCACTTGTGTGTGGAGTAGTAGCAGTGCGAAGATTTTTACTACGAAATACAATTGAAAGTACAGACTACTCACAGTGTGCTGTACAAATGAGAAGCTTACATAACTCGTTATATGTAGCACTTATGTATGTGCTCCTCTTATGTATTGAGTTTTATGTACTTTTCCCAAACTGGGTGTTGGCATGGCCCAGAAGTTGTCATCGAATCGAAATCTCCAGCTGCAATTCCGCATTTGCTTCCCATCTGTAAAAGGTTGCGAGATGCCAATGGCCTAGTGCACTGCACCATCGCTATTTACCACCCAGCGACCTCCACCCTAGTCCCCCTTGTGCCACGCCCCTGTGTCTAGAAAATACAAACGCTATAAGGCCAAAAGGAAAACGGATTTCGCCGGGCCAACAAACGCAGTGCGCAGATGCCAGGCTGAATGCCCATTTTTATATAGACGGTTTTTTTTTGGGGAGGCTTTACCATCCATCGTTTCAACTCGGAATCGTCATCGGCTGTGAAACAGCTGCCTACCAGGCGCCAGACAGACGCCAAAAAACGGTGGAAATGAAATGGCAATGAAACACTCTCGGGAATCATAAACCTCCCGGAAAACTTAACCATCCCATCCCGCCAACTACACACACACACACACAGGGAACTTTCCACAGCTGAGCGAGTGGTGTGGGCTCCCATCAGCAGAAGGCGAACAAAATGTTGGCGCCAGTGCCCTATCCCATTATTCTATCGTGTACCGTATATCCCCATTCTCATAATGTTCCAACTTTTTTCGGGGGTAAATTTGAGTTTGGCGCGCGCCTTTCTTCGTTGGCCACTGGAAGGAATCGATATTGTATTGTATATAGAAAATTTTCCAGTTTTCTCTCTGTTCGCTGTCTGGGCAAGGTGTGTACTGCGTACTCTGGTACGCTCCCCATCCACTGTAATGTAGGTTAGTTCAGCTGTGGCGCTCCTAAATCTTAACACGTTGAGAAATATTGCAAAATCTGTTTTGTTGACCTTATAAATCGTATCTATAAAAGTTTGGATGATACAAAGATTTTTAGTACCTGGAATTCCTCGGAAATTCGAAATAAGTAATAATAAAGATTTAGTAACTAAAAACTAAAAGATTTTGGGGCTTTTGAAGAAATATGTATGTTTATTAAAATATTTTTTCTGTGTATTTCGAGTAGTCACAAAAACAACAATCGGGGCAACTGTACGCAATTGGACATTTGCACTTTAGCGCCACCTAGCGAGCAAGTTCAATGACCCGCCAAACAGTGGGTGGGAAGGGTGCGGATTGCCGACTGCAAAAGAGAAAGAGGAGAGCAGCGAGTAAATCACAGACTTGCACTCACATTTCCATCCCGCCGCCTCCTTTTATGCCACCCACCTTTAGGGCGTGGTTGTGTATGTTCGTTTGCGTCTGTGTTCGCCTGTGTCTCTCCAATGCACCGTTATGTGCGTGTGCCTAACTGTGAATGGGTTTCAGTCGTCGCAGCTTTCTGTCAACCAACTCGGTCTGCATTGCAATTTTATTTCGCACTTTTGTTAGTCTGCATATGCACTCTATGTATGCGTTTAGTATGCCTCGGTGATGCACCATTTTTTAATACATGTATTTATGTACATATGTTGTGAGTGCGTTAGATCTACTTTTATTTTAGGTACCCTGCACAGCAGACGGGTATCAATCTTAAAATACTGCTTATATTGACATTATAGCTTTTATATAAAACTATATACAACATTTTAAATCTTAATGGCTACTACATCATTTATATGTATCGACAAAATCAGTTAAAGTTATCAAATCGAACACGAAATTGATTTCAAGTAAGGAAATTCCGTTTTAAGTAAGCTTGAGGTACTCTACAAACTTGTGAATTGGGAGTTTTTGATATGCCTAAAACATTTAAATAATCTTTCAGGAAGCCCTAGAGCTTTATAATTTCGTTTCTTTTAGTAGTATTTAGATAGAACTGGAACAGTGTTTGATCGGCACTTAAAAGGCTTAGCCGTTTATATAGCGGGTGTAAACTTGGTCAAGCTGTTGGACATTCTTCTTTCCCTATTTACTCTCTCCCACGCTCTCTCTTTCCACCGCTGTAGCCTCTTCTCTTTTCCTAACTATAAGTCTTTCTCTTTCACACTTATTTACTACAATGTTTACTATGTGTGACAGGCATGGTGGTATCGTTTGTAATCGTCGACGTTGACGAAGTGCATAGAACAAAAATCCATAAACTACTTGCACTAGTCCGCCCAGCCAACCCATTTATCCCTATCTCTTTCTTTTCGTCTTGTTCCATCTCTGTCTCTACGCCCATTATGTCATTCATCAGGCGACGTCGACGTTGTTGTTGTTTATACCCTTTTCATTTTTTGCCTGTGGTAGTATTTTTAATATTTACGCGCTTTTCTTCCTGTTTGCATTTCTCTCTCTTTTTCTGCAGTCTTTTCGAGCCCTGCTTGTTTATGTTGCGTCTTATTACATTGTTTCTTTTGTTTGTCTGTTATCGCCTTTCTTTTTTGGGGCAAAGACTGATTTATGGTGCTTGGCAGTTTCATTTTACACTTTTCGATTTGCAATAAATAAGAAGGCTATAAAGAAATCCCTGAAGAGGGGAAACTACTAAAACAGCACTAACACTGTGTAGCAAAGTGATAAAAAAAAGTTGTGTGTGTTAAAGTTGTAGTTATCCATAGATAATTTGGCATCCGAATAACATTACAGTAATCCTTCGCTACTATTGAAATTACTAAAAATATTTGCAAATAAAATTAGTGAATTAAGATTTATTTACTTCGTACTTTATACCTATTTTTTGTAAGCCTTCAATTTATTTTCATCATTCATTTTCTTTCGTAAGAGCAGACAAATACGAAGAACCTACAAAAACTTTCCTTTTTTTTGTATGGGCTTTTTGTTGATTTACAACCGTCTGCGAACTTAATGGATCCAAAATGAGAGGTGGGAATCTGCAGAAAAATTCTGCAAAGTACTTATATCGTGTCCTACAAAAAGTGCTTTCAAGAATGGCTAACGCTAATATCCTTCCCCACCAACAAGGCCGTTTGTTACACCGGCCTTTTACACCACACGCGTCACAACAAATCGATGTCGTCTCAAGGTGAAAATCCCATAAATATGAGAACATGTGTATGCTAAAAAAAAAGCCGAACAATATATATGTGTGGCGTTAAAAGAAAAAGCAAAACGCCTCCAACAACAAACAATTGAGACGACGGCGCCAGCACCGTTGCCCTGACGACTAAATGTCAAAAAGGGACCTTCAAAGCTTTAGACCCAACTTTATATACCCCCCCAAACCCATTTCCATTCAGGTTTTATTCCTCAGCTGGAAGCTTTTGGCAATATGGCGTGTGTGTTTGTTTTTCTTTGCCAGGAGTTGTCGTCGGCAATTTGCCAACATGTGTTTGTGGACAGCCCTGTAATTGAGGTCCAGACCAAAACGATTCAGGATCGGACTCTGGTAATTGGAGTTGCGTGCCACGGGTTAAACGAAAAAGAAGACCGAAAATCTCTGCCCAAAAAGGGCGTTGATGTCGTGATGATGAGTGGATTTACAGGAAATCAAGAAAACACGTCAACACCAATCGCAAAACTGACCATGGGTAATAATACTATCCACAATCCAATTCTTTGACTGAACTAGTTAATACTAGACCACTAATAACCAATAGGTAAGATAAGAAATATAATTACTAAATTCGTTGGGAAACAAAATACAACTGATATTTATATTTACGAATTCAATACCCAATGATGCTTGTCAAACTGGAATAGAGTGTAACTTACCTTGCTTAACTTCTCGCCCTCGTGTCTTGGGAGCAGTGATCGTAGACTCTGGAAGCCGGCGTTGATGCTCTGCATACGTCTGCGTTCGTTGCTGTTTGCGATTTCCCGGCGCATCCTCTTTTCGCTGTCAACAAGGGGTTTTCCAGATCCGTCTCCATCACTCAAGGCTCCGCCCCCACCGCCTCCTCCCCCGCCCTTTGAAGTATTCGTACCGCTCATGCTCGACTGGCGACGCTGAGAACCTTGGTGGGCCGACTCGCTGGCGTACTCGATATGATAGTTCTCACCCCCTGAATCCTCTAGTTGTAATCTGCAAAATTATAAAATACGTCAACAATGAGTCCACAGTGGTTAGTTATTGGTCAGAAATCAGTTACATCCACTTCTGGGAAAAGATTAAACAATCACCAATATTTTTTAATGATAGTTCACATACCAGTACATTCTATTGCAGATTGGAGTTTAAACCCTTTTTTTTAGGTTATTTTAAATGACGATTGGATTATTTTTTTTTTTTTTTTTGTAGAAGCTAGGTATATTAGGTATTATTTATTGCCTGCCTGTTAATAAAACCAATTAACTTTTACATTTATACAATCCACGAATACACAACACACACACAGCCATGTGCCCGCTCACCGAATGGCTGAAAAATTCATTCATTCATAAATTTACAATTCCATTCAATTCAATTTTAGTTAAACCCGCCGACGCTCCACAACAACAAAGAGCCAACAAATACACTCACACAATCACCACTTTGTTGGTGTCACGTTAGCATCAACAGAAGACTAAAGAAAAAGTTGTTGTTTAACATGGTTTATTAATACCCTAAGCTAGGTCAATATGATCTTAAGTTAATGTGATGTATCTTATTTAAACGTAATCCATTTTTTATTTTAACATTATAAATGTTAAATTTCTATGAAGAGGGTGTTTTACAATAATTATAATTTTCCAAGTTATATAGTTCAAATGCTATCATGGAGCTAGTTGAAATGATATACCCAACAAACTTATTTGGTGGGTATCAACCTGCACTACACGTGTAAAAGGGGGACAGAGAGGTTAATAGAGAAAGAGACAGGCAGCTCAGCACAGCTGTCAATGGTATGGACATTCCTCTTTTTGTTGTTGCTGCCACCATCGCCGGTTGTCGTGATTGTTGTTTTCTGTTTTCTGTTTTGTCGGTTCGATTTGGTTTATTTCGGTTTTGCTTTTGATCTCCGTTTCGTATTATTTCGCAGCTCTTCTCCATCTTTTTCTTCTTCTAGGGGCTTCAAGCTATGCTGCAGCATAGTCTCAAAGACGCGAGAGCTCTCAAGAATTCGGAACCGGTTTTACACTACGAAAAGAGCAAACACGTTTTCCACAGGCCACAGTTTTGCTGTTGCTGCAGGCTAATGAAAACAATTTTCACAATGGTATGCTCTCCAAGAAAAAAACAACAAAGACACAGGTATATGGGAGGGGTAGGGGGGTGTGTAAAAGTTGCAACACCACATTCCATGAGCAACGCCAAGAACAACGCTCTTTCAAGACGATGCTAGAAAATACAGTCCAACTTCTCTAGCTCAAACATTTCGAAAAGATTTGATTAGATTTGGATGCTTGAACGAATTGAATTCTGAAATTTCATTGCTTGAATTTGAAAATGATAGTACTGTTATATATAACAATTCACAAAAACAATTTAGGAACCGGAATTTTTGATCCAACTAAATACATTTTTCTTATACAATATAGCAAGTAGAGCTAGAGAGCAGTTAAAGAAGTTTGACTGTATTAGAGACATCGTCTCGCTAGCTTGGTTTATTTTTAGAAACATCATCCAAAGGTCGTTCTTCTCCGGCAGCATTTCTGCGGTAAGTGTGGGAAATAGAGGGGAGATGCATCCAAAGTTGGTCAACATCAGCAGCAGGCGGATGTGGAGATTGTGGCAGTCAGAAAAGCATAAAGGCTGCTGTGTTGTAGAGACGTAAAGCAAAAGGCAAATGGAATGTGGTTCGGGTCTTGGATCTGGGCACTTATGCCTGCTTTTTGGCATCTCGTTTGTTTTTGTTTGCACAATAAAGACCGAAAAACGCTGAATGAAAACAGCGCACAGAATGTTGCTGCACGCTGCATGTAGTGGCAACATCTGTTGTTGTTTTTGATGGCCGAGACACAAACATATAACTATACTTTGCTACTTTATGATGCCAGTCTAATTATTCCAGCAATGCACATAGTTTAAGATGGGAAATAGAAAACAGCGAGAAACAAGGAAAATTTCTGTATGAAAAAAGTGTGCTCTTTTGGTTTAAAAATTATTTTCCTTTAAAATATGTATTTTTTTCTTTTTTTATAAATGTAATCTATTATGTATATGTAACAATGTGACACCCTTTCAAAATTTAATGGATTTTACAATCTATAAATAGATTATCGTACTTCATTGTAAATAAAAACCAAGTGAACTAATAATTGTTGTATATTTTTTTTTTTGGGAAAAACTTTTTGTTAAATTTAGAATTTCTAGTTTCCTAGGTGCTTGAATCGGATCTATTTTAGAACTCTTTCTTGCGACGCTTCTCATTTGAGTCGTTGTAACAGCTGTTTATGTCTCAAATTGTTGTTTAATTAAAGATGCAGCTGTGTATGAGGCATTGCAATAACGCATTTTTCGAGGTACAAATAAATGAATAAACATAATAATAATACCAACATATGATACTGGACAGCTGACGGCACTGCTGCAGCGCTGCTCTTTAGCCCAGGGTTCAATGTAGTTCATTGGCCACTTTTCGCCAGCAAGTACATAGAGAGAAAAAACACAGATACGAACGATAAACAGTCAGAGAGACAAAAGCCGAAGTCACGAGTGCTGCCACCTAACCACCCACTCCGTCCCCACCTCCTCTTTAGTTGCTGTTGTTGCACTTTGCACATAAATTGTACATACGTTTATTGGGTCACTGCTTACGTCATCATTTCACTGGAATTTCGTCGTATTGCTGCTGCAGCAGCAGGTGAAGATAAAGGGGGATAATGGGGATGAAGAGGAGTGTCGGCATATTAAATTCGAAAAGATAAACATGCAATTATATAATCCCCCAACAATGTAAACAAAAGATGATGTATTCTTAAACTTGTCAACAATATTTGTCCCTTATCAGAGTTGCAACACGCCTTGAAAATTTCAGAAGAATTAACAAAGGTAACATAAATTTGGCATTCAAATAAATTAAATACGAAATAAGTATGTTGTATCGCATTTATAGTTTTATTAAAATTCTTTTATTAAGGGCAAAGCGTTATTATTGGTCTGATTTTGAAATTATAATAATAAAAATAAATAAATACCAAGCCGTTTATATTTTTAAACTAACAGTAAGGATCATGCAGTCCATAGTACAAAAAAAAAAAAAAAAAAAAAAAAAAATAGAATTGTCCTCTTCATTAATGAAAAAGGGGAAATCCCGCTTTACACTTATCGTTTGAGAAAAATCGGTGGTAAACTTACGGCACGGACTGTGAATCCGAGGCAAAATTGAAATGCAACGCAATAAGGTTTTCCACCACTTGCATAATTTGTGCAACAATGTAATGCGCGTAAACTAATGAACAAATAAGAATTCGCACATTTCTTTTACAGTTTAGACGACCAGCTGGCGCCACATTTCCAATAAAGACATAATAAATTAAACGTAAAAAAGAATGGAAATTATATAGGGTAGCTAAATATAATTATTCGTGGAATAAAAACTTGAGGCGTAAAAGAAATTCTATCCCAGCTGTTTGTTTTTAAAAGAAATCTACAGAAAGGAAGGCATTATAAACAAATGTTATACTTGGACAGCAATTCGATAGGTTTACGAAAACTGATATGTGAGTAAATATTTAAGGGTAAGCAATTGCGATCAACAGAAGTTCTAATCGTAGTTAGAAAATTAAAATTTGGTTTTTCTATTTATTGATCTGTATTTAAACTTTTTTTTAGGGATTACAAAAATAACTTAAATCACTTTCACATTATTAACGAAATATGTTAACCAATTTTCTTATAGTACGGTGCAGTAGTAGTTTTGGCTATACTTCTTCTTCTCTGCCATGCCCCAAAAACTGTTGTACACAACAATCATGTGTTTTTCATAAACAAGCCGTAGAGCTCTCTCGCACACACCCAATTCAGACCTCTCTTTCACACGCAGGTTGCCAATAAATGCCGCATGCAAAAAAGCATTGTGGAAACGAAACGAAAACAAAATGAAACGTTTTGGCATACGAAACGAAACACACGGAGCCATCGCCCAAAAATTTTGCGCAGCAGATTTGAAGCCATGTGTTGGTATTAGTCTTTATTTCATTTTTTTTTTTTTTGCAAATTTGCAGCGGGTTTTCAGCTTTAGCTTTTGTGTATATGTTTTTTCAATGAAACGTGTGTGGTAGTAAAAAAAACAAATGTGTGTGGCGGCATCTGTACTTTTGAGCTCTCACCCTCTCGTTCTCACGCTTAGCAAGCTTTTGCTTTTGAGTGCAACTCAAATGGGGTCCCCTCTCTGAATCACTCGTTCTCTCTTGCTTATGTACTTGGATCAACTGGGGAGCGGCTCTTATAAGAGAGAGAGAGAGAGATGGAGAAATAAGGAGTTGTATATGTTCTCTCAGACTCTTGGATTGCTCCTCTTTTCCAGTCAAGTGGGGTAAAAACGGAAATGACGCCACACAACAGCAGCAGAAATAACAACAATAACAATCGCAACACATGGCTTTCGTAGTATTCGCAAATGTGCAACGGATGGAATGGAGAGAGGAGAGCCGAGTGGAGACTTTTAGCCATGGCATGCTCTTTTATTTTAGCACCAACAACAAATGAGCAGCTGCTGTTAAAACGCAATTGTTATACCGCCCACACTGGTGGCCAAAATAACAGTGCAGCCTTCCCTTTTTTGACTTTTTAAGAGTTATTTATTTCATATATTGTGAATCATCGATGGAACTTTATTTTTTCTTGTTTTTAATACATTTTGCTCACTCTATAGAAAACCCTTTTAAAACCCAAAACTTAAGAATTCAATTTTATTTCATTTATTTTGATTAGAATTTCAATTTGTAGTGTTATTATTGTGGAATAGCTGTTTTGAAATTTGCATACCAAATAGATAAGAAATTAAAAGGATCGAAGTTTTCTTTTAAGCATTTAAAATAAGTATAGTATGCAGCAGAAAAAACATATGGTGCGAATTTAATATATATATTTACCCGGTATATCAGCAAACAGAAATAAAAACCTTGAAAGCCAGCTGAAAGGGATTAGTATATGTGCGCATTTATATATATTTTCGATTTTCTTTGTGGTTGTGCAAAAACATATGCTCGAGCGATAAGAGAAGGCGCCGCTTATGACGTGTGAAAAAGCGAAAATCGTAACCATATGATTTCATTAAGCCGGCAAAGGAAAAGAAACGTTCCCTGTAAAAAAATCAAATATTCGCCAGACGACGACGATCAAAAGAAATGCATTCCCTTAAAACTGTACATTTCTCAGGTAACTTATTTTCCACAATTTTCGGCCCTTATTCGTGTGGTATTAAAATCGTATACTACGAAAAAGATAAACATGTATAAATTAACAGGCCGGGTTATATACAAATAAATAAAAAAAATCTATTGTCAAAATAAATATTAAAAATAGATCATAGTTTCGTTTATTTGCTGCGTGAAGAGAAGGAATCGAGAGAGAAGCGTGTAAATAAAAGCAAAGCAAGACCATCTGATGATACGAATATACCGGTACAGCTGATTTCATTTCAACTATGAACACAAAGAAGAAGAAATAGAAATGTTGATTAGGCAACGCATGATAAGCGAAAAGGAGTGAAAGAGAGAGGGAGTGCGGGTGCGCAGCTGTTTTTTTACCTCCGTTAATTCGAACATGTGAGCTATTGCAAATTGGCAGCTGAGCGCGAGAGTCGAAGAATAGGAAAAAAAAAAAGTAGAAAAGAGAGGAGAGCATAGAGACGATCGACGGTCAAAAAAGCAGCTGTAACAATCAGACTACATATTTGAGAAAAGGAAATGTGGAAAATAACAACATTTAATGCAATAAACCAATAATAAGGAGATTGTTAAAAATATCTTCAATGTTTTCGGAATCCTTGTAGATGATTTTCTAAAATGTACTTAATTTGAGTTATTTTTTTTTCTTCTATATTTTTCTCCTTAGTCCTACATTTTAATATAATCGAAATTTATCTTTTTTTATATTATTGGAATAGTAAAATGAATTGAAATGCTAGTATAATCGAAATTTTAAAATTTATTTTCTTTATCTTAACAAAATATAAAACTTTTAAAAGTACAAACCAAATCAATTTTCTAGCATCATCAGGACTAATATTTGTGACCCAACTGTTTCCTGTCTGCCGACGCTGCTGACAAATTGACAAAACAGCCGTTTTACAATATGGACGACGAAAGGCAGAGCGTAAAAACACAAGAGCGGCAGGAAAAGAGAGCGAGGGAAGAAGGGGCACAGGCACGAGAGATGGGAGAAAGAAAAAGAAGCGTCACATTTATTCCAGCAACAAGAAAACGGCATGGAAGTGGAAATGGAATGGAATGCAATATACGCTAGTGTCAGTGTGTGTGTACCTTAATGGTGGTGGTGTTTTTGTGCCGTATTTGTTTTGTCGGCAAAACGGCGGCAAAAAACAGGCGAGAGAAGAGAGAGCAAAGAGAGCGTACTAGCAAAGTAGTAAAAATAATCAATAATTTGCGTGATAAAAATGCAAGCTGTTGACTGGCGTTGTTATGTCCCTATTTCATCATTCTTTTGACACACCAAATTTTCGAACTTACTGCAATTCCTCATCCAATTCCTCGGCGCTGTTGTATTCGGCGTGCTCTAGAATAACTTCCTCCGTTTTGATGGCAACCGGTACGGCGGACATGTTTAATCGTGTTTATGTGTTTGCTTACTATCGTGGCCAAAATGTCTGCGCCACGTGCTTTTTGTTGTTGCCGTTGCTAATGCGCTGATATTTGACTACATAAACATTTGCAATTTATTTATAGCCTTTGTTATAGCCTTTTGCTTTTGCTTTTGCTCTTGCCTTTAATGTATTTCGCACACACACATGTGTCAGCTGGTCTCAGCTGCTTTTTGTATTTAGCGGCAAATTGTTTGCCCGTCTCACTCACACCCGCACTCACTAGTACTACACACACACACCACGCGAGAGAGTGAAAGAGATATAGAGGGATGGCAGGGGAGAGCGACTTTTAGCGCGTCCAGAAGTTTTTCTTTTCACTTCGCACTCTTTGATTTTTTGCCTTTAGATTTGTATATTTGGCAATGTTTTTTCCCACGGCACTGTAACTAGAAGATACGCACTGAACAATTTGTGTACACAATCGAATTGGCCGCACTGTACGCTTTTTTTTTATTTTGTTTTTCGATCGGGATGCGACAAGATTTTTCCGTCCGTTCGCTGCGTGGGTGCGTTCGATTCGGCGAAAAACAGCAGAGTGACCATATTCCGAAAGGAAAAAAACGACGTAGCGATTTTATAGGAACTTTTATCTTCGGTCGTTTTTCAACTCTAGTATCCTACTGCCAACAATGCTATGCTAAGTGTCATAGCTTACTAATGCGCCATCTGGACAGCGATTCGTCGAAAAACAGAAACCGTTTTACAACACTTATCAAAGCTGTGTTTAGTGTCATCGTAACCAAACGCTATAATATCATTCTCTGCCACGCCACCTGGATAACGATTTGGTGAAAAGTAGCATGAGATAATAAAAGCAATTTTATAGAATTTTTATAGGATTATCTTCCAACGTTGTTCAACTCTTTTTAGTCCATAAATAACAGTTCGTTTACTAATACGCCATCTGACTGTTGCATTATTGTACGTTACTTTAAAAAGGTGGTTTTAACGAATATTTGAGAGTAACAGAATCGTGTCAAAAATTCAATAGTGTATAAATAGTCTTATATTAACAGCGATAATTCGAAGAATAGATAGTAGTTTTGTTATTTTCATTTAATTATGTTTTAGATGAATTTTTCAAATGGTGAATAAGTAAAGACATAAACCATTGCCGATAACATAAATGTTAACTAAATAGTATTTCAACTGGTGTGACCTTCTATATAAATTATACCAACATTAATCAACTGATAAAAATACCCTATCGCAATAACTATTTTCATAATATTTACCGTCGCATCGCATTAAATTCATTTATAAATCACTTGAATAAATCAACAAATTAAAGCAAAAAAAGAAGTTTCAGAAACCACCGAAAGCCGGAGAATGTAAATATGTTAAATTACATCAAGAGGCAAGCCAGTGAGTGTAGAAATTTAAAGATTTTCTCTGCCGTTTTCACCCAACTCCCCGCCCTCTTATCCGCTTGTTTTTCTTCTTCGCCCTTCTGTTGACACCAATATTGTTTTCGTTTACTTAGGCCTCCGTCGCAGCAGCCAAGATGCCACGGATGCCAATTGTGGGCAAACAGCCGATGATGTGGACACCGTCGATGCAGTCATGGCGCACAAACGTCACTCACTACGCTCGACAACCAGTTTCTGTGACGAGGTGTTCCTAGAGGCGGAGGAAGAGTACAGCGTAGGGGGCGTGGGAGCCGGAGGAGGAGCCCCCTCAGATGGTATCAGTCTCTCCAGCAACGATGGTAATTACCTCACCGCGCATTATTTAATTAATCGCACGTTTGTACCTTTGAATCGCATATGAACATGGTGGGAATCCCACTAAAATTGCACAATCGCTAGCTTCTATTTATTTAATTAAAAATAGTCTTATACTTACAGTTTTCCAATTTCTAAAGACAGTTTGAATAAAATAAGTGACAATAATATTAACTAGCACTTAATAATAACTCATATATTTTCTCAGAAATTTTCACTTACAACTCGCGCCTTACCATGAATCTGGCTTCCATTGTCAAAGATCCCAACTGCCTGAGCTTCTTTGTGCAGTATCTGGACACCCGACAAGCGCTCCCTTTGATCAAATTTTACCTGGACATTGAGAACTTTAAGCGAGCGGCGATCACGCAAGAGAAGGAAGAACCGGTGGAGCCTCCTAAAAGGGCTGAACAATCTTCTCCACACAAAGATGAAAAAGATGTACCTGAACTGAAGACGTTGTGTGATCTGTCCATGCGGAAACCCCTAACAGACGACGAAAAGAGCCGCATATATGCGGAGACCAACAAACAGATTAATAGGCAAAAATCTGGGCCGGAATGTGTCACGAGTTCTGAACTTTCCCGTGCCAGCATTAGCGATGCCATTGCCATATACCAAAAGTATCTGATAGTGAATGCCAGTCTTCAAGTGGAACTGCCAATCGTCATCCTTGCGCACATTTCTTTGCTCCTTTGCGGAAGGGATAAATCTGAGTGCGTTAAACCAATCCCAGCCAACTGCTTTGATGAAGCCAGGGAGTTTGTGTTGGATCAATTGGAGAGGGATCATTTGCAGGGATTCCTACAAAGCGGCTACTATTCAACCTACTGCTTAGAGTTGATCGAAGGTGGTTCCATTAATATCTATGATGTGTTGAATAGCGAACTGGCTTTATTTTACTTTACCGAGTACCTGGAACAGCGACAAGAGCGGGAGTGTCTGGAGTTTTGGATCACAGGCATAAATTTTCGCAAGAGTTTTGCCTCTGGAGAAAAGGAGGAGGATCTTAAGGCGGCCCAAAGCGATGCCATGATCATTTACGATAAATACTTCTCCCTGCAATCCGAGTGTCGCCTCTGGATGTCCCAGAAGCTGCGATTACGAGTAGAACAGGCCATCTGTGCTCCAGGTGAACAGTGGCAAGCCTTTGATTTGGCGCTTTTGGTTACGGCCAAGTATCTAGAGCAAAAGTATTTTTCTGATTTTTTAAAGTCACACATCTTTGATAACTATGTGAATGAACTGAAGGTTAAGAGAGGTTTGTACTGAAACATAAACTCATGAGCAAGATTTGTAATAACTTCCGTTTAACTTTCATAGATAACTCCACCCCACACCCAGGTATACAGCAAAAGTTGAGCCTGCGAAGAACTGGCAAAACTTCTAATGCACAGCAGCGTCACCGAAAAACCCTATCCATGTCAGACTACACGCACATTTCTCAACACAACACACTGCTGGCTTCCATGGATCAAACACCATCGAAAACATCGATTAACCAAGAATCTGGCAATCTCAATATCGATGCAAGGCAATTGACGAATCCCCAACTTTTGTGGCAGCGTCCAGTAGGCGCACTTAAATTCGGTTTTGTCAACTCCTTGGGACGCTATGAACGGGACTTTGAGGCTGTAGATGCAGTGGCTCTTAAATCCCAACCATGGTCCTTAAGTGTCAGCGGAAATAAAATCAGAAATGCAATGCGAAAGTTGGTAAATCTGCCAGAGGATAATGTGCAAGAGGAAATTGCCTGGCAAGTGGCTGAGATGATTGTCAAGGATGTTACGAGTGTCACACTCAGTGGCAAGATTCCTCCGCTGACATAATGTGCTTCACCGTTATGGAATTTATTTATCATTTATAAATTATTATTTTTTGCTCAAATCAATAAGAATCTCTTTAAAATGTGCACAAAATGAAATCGCAACCGAAGCTCTCTGACTATCTATCTTATGTACAAATTATGTTGAACAAATCAAATATTTTATCTTAACTTATTTTCGTTAATGCTGTGGGCTTTGAAAGCCTATTATTAACTGAACTATTGCTCGCTCATTTGTTATTTAAAGCAACAAATCCCAAATCTCAAATATAAGGAAGCTAAATCGATATCGAGTCTTTACTTCATTCCGTTTAAATATGATTAATCATTTGTAATATATAATGTATATGAATATTTTTGCATACTGATGATAACTACAAAGGAAAATTTATTGTTATTAATAAAATTTTTCTATAACCATGCTGTTATTTTGTATATTGGGTTATTATTATTATTTCTAAATATTTATCCTATCTTATTTTTTAAATTAATTCGATATTTTCAATTATTAAATAATCACTTTATCTATATCTCATATATTGTTACTCCGTAACTAAGACATTTTGTATTTAAATAAGCTAGATAAAACGCGAAATTGTGAAAGTATCCATTTGAAGATTTCCGCCAAATCAGGAATACAAAAACCCGAAAATGAGTTTTTAACATATCTGACACCTTTAACCAAAAAAGAAACGCGCATTTTGACTTCCTTCTTTAATCTCTCCTTAAATTTATTGCAGTCAAACTCATATATATATATAACTAAGCCACTTCCTCTACGGGGATATCTCCCCGTTTCACTGAACCAACGCAGAATGCGCAACATTGTTTTAGCGGAATAAAGGCAAAAAGGATATTCGCTATAGCAGAGCTCTGTGGAACCCCTTAATGCCAACCCTCTACTAAACGCTCGAGCGATTTTAGCCGGAGCCATCTCCAGCGATGATTCCAGATAATCCATGAGCAACTCCGCCTCCGGAACTTTGGCTTCGGCTCCGGACATTAGCTGGCAGATTAGGGATTGCAGGCATTCGAAAGGATCTCTCGAGAGAATTCGCTTCCAATCGATGGCTGGTGCTGGTCTATGGACCACTTCTCCTGCAGTACCCCTCTTTCCACTTCCTCCACCGGAGTCCTGGGTGTTTCGCACCCAACCAAGATCATGGGTAAAACTTGCATCTCTTCTGCTGCGAAATAAATTCAAAGCCCCGCTTGCTTGTTGGATGGGTGCAATAACCTGTTGAATGGGTTGGACGGCCATTCCGGCTAGTTGGGTTATTCCCCGGATGGGTCGGATCTTAACCCAATCCTGGGCTAAGAGGTGCATCATGTACATTGCGCCCAAGCCGGTGGCAGCTAAGAGAATAATTCTAGGAAAGGTTTCAACAAAAATTCAACATTAATATTCTTTATCATTCCTTTCTTACACTTTTAATTGGTTCAATAATTTGAAATTATATTTTAGTCTTTGTAAAAACTTTTCAATACAGTAACCCCCATCCAAACAAATTTAGTTCGAAGAGATTTCTCTTAACAAACACTTTAAAGCGCATGCTCACCTGAAACCCATCCTTTTGAACTTAACTACTGTCCTGTCACGTCTTTACAGCTCGGTTGCCAGACTTCAAATGTGAGATCTCCGCGAATGGGGCCCCGTGTTAAAGCCCCAATTGGATGCCAAAAATCGATGGCAGCTCCATTTTGATCGCCTGAAACAGCAAAACCCCAAAACCGGAACCAGCGGACTTATCATCATAACAAAGTCCATCCCACCGCTTTCCGGAATGGCGATGGCGATGACATAATAGCCTCATCCAGTCAAGTTGTCCAGGCAGCAACTCCTCCTACTCCAGCTATTCCTCTTTCCCCAACATCTCCATTTGTTTTCCCTTTCATTTGGAGCAAACGGGTTTTTCTATTTGCGTTTTCGCGATTCTCTTAACGCAAAAAGTTTTCCTTGACTTTGGCGGTGATCCAGTGGTTTGGTAGCGTTGTCCATGACCATTAAAAACGTTGGTTAACAGCTATTAACCGCCGAGGAAAATGAAGTTAAACTATCCACTAGGCAGTGGGTCAGACGGGTGAAGATTTGGGTTTTTGAGGCTAAAGGAAAATGGTGTTGTATAATAATGACTCGGGGAATCCCCAGACAAGAGAAAATAAATCTATGTTGTTTGGGGCACCTAATGTAAACCACCATGGCTAGTGGTGTACTGTGATCTTAATATTACAAATATGACTTATCTTGTGTTTTCTTTTACTCATCAATTTCAAATAGCATTTATTTATTCGGTATATTACCTTACGCTCTTTCATCATTTTCTCTTATTTCATAATCTTTCATTATTTTACATTCTACACAACATTATAAACAAATTTCAATTCCTATTCTCATTACATAATCCATTTCATTTTAACATTTAATTCATTCCATTTGCTTCTCAGCAATTTAAAATTCGACTCTAGTTATCGTCACTATGATTTCCTTTTGATTAAGAGCATAGTCCCGTCAAGAGCCCCACACGCCATGTTCCAACTTTCGGCATCTTTCTCAAAACTTCATGACAATATTTATAAGTTCTCTTATTATGCAATGACTTCAAGATATTTCTATCTCCTTTTAGAACTTCACTAACCAAAAATGGTCCTTTAAACTTTGCATCTAATTTAATTTGATGGGGTTCTTCATTTTTCAGTAAAACAAAATCTCCAATTTTATGTCGTTCAACTGCTGATTTATTTTTATCGAACTTTATTTTGTCGTTATTAGCTTGATTGTTCATACCTTCAATTGCCCTATACCTAGCATTCCACCATTTCTGTATCATACGTTGGAGTCAAACCCAAAGGACGAGCCTCCTTGCCGACAATCAACTCTAGGGGACTTGTTTTGGTTGCATTACTAACTGTGCAATTCAAGGCAAGTTGTACCTCACCTAAAGCATCTTGCCAAGATCGGTGACTCGATTCAACCGCTGACAGTAGATTCTTAAGTGTACTCATCACACGTTCAACTTGACCATTTGCACGGCTTCCTCCTGTAAGCTTCTGTAATGTACAAAATTCTGAAAATTTTCCACAATCCAGTCACTTGAGATTTCTGCCAAGTTTACACGCTTTTCAGGGACTAAAGACTTTTTAACTTTGGTGGCTTCCAAACATTTGATTTCTCGATAAAAAATCCACATGCGCCATGCTCTTTCCTTCTCAATATTCGATTTTGAAACCAACAGACTGCAAATACGCGATGTCCGCGATGATTTAAAAAAAATTACAATCAGTATACACTACAAACGAACGACCAACTAAATAATGACGGAACTGTTTAACGGATTCTGCCACTGCCAAGGTTTCTAATTCGTATGAATGGTATCTAGACTCTGTAGGCGAAGTAGTTTTACTAAAATACTCTACTACAGGAGTACTACCGTTGATTCGATGCATTAACATTGCATCATAACCGTAAGAGCTTGCATCTGTGTGTTACTCTATTGGATGTTGTGGATCAAAATAACAAGTACAACCTCATTTACAAGGATAGCAATACAATTTTTCTAATATCTTCCAACTTGTTATTCCAATTAAACACACTTTTACTGGAAGTTAAGGAATATATCGCTTTCATAATCTGTGAGAACCGAGACACAAATTTTCGAAAATAAGACGCCAAACCTATAAACTGTTTGCGTTGGTGGCAAGAATTTTTCGCGGATTAGGCTGTTTATAATTCAGAAACGTAGCTGCCGGCGTTTCCTTAGTCTCAAAACGCTGGATAAATAGTTCTTTAAACTGCTCCCAATTAATGCCGGGATAGCAGATCTGTGCAAGCCAAGCTGAAGCCCTGTATGGAACTACTCAACGTCATGATAAGTGGGCTGCCATCAATCTGCTGTTCGTCCATTGCACACCATTGAGTCGCATCAGCTCTAGTTACAACTGGGTTAAATTTTGGTAAAACCACTTGATTTTGTGGACGCACAGAATCATTTGCGATTTCCACAATAGTACGCCACTGATCTTCAGAAAAGGCAGGAGTTGGTAGTGATCCCACTTCTGATGTTAGATTAGGGCTAAGATTTTCCATACAAATCCTAACACGGCCACATTTTAATATCAAGTAAAGTCCAGAATTGAGCGTGCTGGCGACAAGATAGATAGCTAGATACCAAACCGGGAGAACGGAAGAATTAATTCGACGCGGAAAAGATAGATTTAGAAAGAAAGAGAGAGGAGAGAAGTAGAAAGTTTGCGCTGCCACAGATGTAAATAGGCTTGCGTACTGCCCACCCTACCTTTGGCCACAGTCCGATAAAGCAATGCTTTAGTGACCCCTTTGAACACCCTACAACCGTGGAGTCATCAGCTCAGTTCAAACAGAAGATATTTCAATTCATTATAAGATTTAATTCAGAATAAAACTAACAAAAAAATTTGGCTATGACTAATGAAGTGTTTTGCATTATTCCTAAATGTTTGCTTGCATAAAAAAAAATATCCTAATTATATGAGAGGGAAACTTATATGTAAAATTTATAAAAATAAAAATTACTATGTAAATGTTCCAAGAAATATGGGTATATATATAATATAATAAAATTTGGTAAAAGTAAATATCAATATGAAGGTGATAATAAATTTTAAATGAGGGTATTAAAAATATGATAAAAATTTAAAATTCATAAGGATAGAGTATCCGTTAGTCACCACTTTAATTTAATTAAATTAAATCATTTAAATGAAATTCGTGCTCTTGTTAGTTTTGTTCGTGTGGATGAATGAATTACATTTTTTAAATTCAAAAATTCAGTGCGACTCGAGAAAATTTTCTCAGTGCATGTGTAAAAGGTAAATAAATCACTCACTGTAAGTCCATCGGCGAAAGATCGATCTCTGCTTTGGGTTGCTGTAAATGAGTTAGTGGGTTTTTGGTACACCATAGAATTTTAAAACGAACTAATTTCCGCACGAGAATTAAAATAAACGATTTAAAATAAACTGATGATCATTTTTAAATTAATAATCTTCATATTCTTCGAATTCGTTTCTCTTCACTTTACTAAAAGCCTGTAATTAATTTAAATTTAAACTAAAAATTAAAACTATTGAATAATAAAAAAATAAAATTAAAACATGTTAATAACGCTCGTGATTTGGGGGATGAAATGGTGGTGAGAAAATAAAAGTGATCGCCATGAGGTTGGGGCTGGTCTGCTGGGCTAGCGGTTTTTGATAATTCCCCTTTGCTCGATATTCCATAGCTGATGGGGGTCAACGCCCTTTCGCTCAACGGGTCTTGGGCAGCGTTGGGTCTCCGAAAATTCCCTTATACCATCCCTAACCTCCGTTTTCCGGCCACCAATGATTTATGAGGATGAAAATGATGATGATGATGATGATCTAGGATCACGGATTAACCGGATGGGGTTTAGCCGCTTCTAATCTGGGAGCCTCCACCAGGAGGGCTCCCGGGGTGCTTTGATGTGGACCGCAAAGAATCTTTAAGAACGGCCACAATAAGTACCCTGGAAGTATTAAACAAATATTTTTTTTATATTCACCTGACAAATTATAATACGACTGCGACGAGGTCGCGCTTTTATAAAGCCGCGACGAACCAAAAAAAAACCCACGAACATAGGCTTAGGCTGCCCTTTTCACTGGCGCAAATGTGGTATTTGGGATAAAAATAAAACCACTTTGCACTTGCGGGATCTTGCGCTGGTGAAAATTTTAAACTCGCGGAGAGTGATATTAGCTTGCGTCGGCACTTCGTGAGGGTTTCGACAGAAAAGACCGAGAATGGATCAAGCTACATTCTATTTAGGTTACCGAAAATACAAAACAGCTGATATTGCAGCTTTCCTAAGCCTCCCTGCTGCAGCTGATTCTGCGTCTTAGCCATTGGGAAACTCCCGAAGTAAAAGCTTCCCTTTAGCAGTCGATTACCAAAAAACAAAATATAAAGCCTATATAATAATTTTAGTTCTTTATTTATTTTATTGGGAAATGACTCTTCAGCCGCCGCTACACAGTACTCTTTTCAACAGACACCCGACACACTCATAGCAAATGAAGCGAGTCTCTGAGACACCCATGTTTTTGGGAAAAGTGAGTCGGGTGTCTTGAAATGAGTCGGGTGTCTTGAAATGATTCGAGTGTCTTTAAAAGAGTCGGGTGTTTCGGGTGTCTTCGACTGATCTGAGTGTTTCGGGTGTCTTCAGCTGTATTGCATGAGCAGGTCATTGAGGGTTGACCGAATAATTTTACATGAAAGGAAGGAAGGAAATCCCAATAATGGCCCCTTAAAAAAGGCCAAATATTTTATGATTTTCCATGTCAGGCCATCTACCTGCTATTCGCAGTGCAATTGACTTATGATCTGTATTTTTATACGCATCTGCAAAAAACGGGAATACATTTGCAGGTAGATTGTTTGATGTCTACACGGAAAATCCTAAAATACTGATGCAATGAACGTTTTATTTTGGTTTTTTTAAGACTTTGTCATTGAACACTTGTAATGATTATATACTCTTATTTTTTCATATTAGTTACTGAAGACGGCAATAATTTGTATTATTAGAAATATACTTTTCTAAGATTAAATTATTGGGATTTCCTTCATTCCCTTCATGTAAAATTATTCGCTCAACCCTCAATGACCTGCTCATGCAATACAGCTGAAGACACCCGAAACACTCAGATCAGTCGAAGACACCCGAAACACCCGACTCATTTAAAGACACTCGAATCATTTCAAGACACCCGACTCATTTCAAGACACCCGACTCACTTTTCCCAAAAACATGGGTGTCTCAGAGACTCGCTTCATTTGCTATGAGTGTGTCGGGTGTCTGTGCATTAGGATCATGTGTATAGAATTGAGCGGGTGTCAAAAACGCAAACACCCAAAACGCACAAAGCGATCTGTGCACTCCGGGTGTGTGCTCTTTTCTTGCTGTTCATGAGTGCGACACACACTCGAAATGTATAAGTGTGATTCGGGTGCCGAAAAAAGACACCCTTGACGTTCTCTGGTGGGGACTAAGGGGTTGATAGGAGGCGTGGCAAGTTGATTTGCTTAAAAAGAAATTCACTTTCCTCGACGGTTTTACTTTTTCAAATTTTTGTGTGCGAATGTTTGCCGTTTCTGGATTTTCTTTTGGTTGGACTTGTGGCGAGTCTTTCTCTGCACGGCAAATATTTTATGTTATATAATGTTGATTATTCGGTTGACTTTTTTAAAGATGATATATTTAATAATAATACAAAATATCAAAACAATTATTCCCAAGCAAAAGAAGAAGCTTCAAAAAAATATCTAATAAAAAGTCCTTAATGGCTTGACAAAAACTAAACTTTTCTTTCTATGTAGCGAAGGCGAAGAAGGTCACGGTGTGTTGTAGATCATGAGGAGGTGGTCAAAGTCAAGTCGCAGGCTTAGACTAGGCCTGGGACTCTAAGAGACCCACAAAGTCCACAATTGAATGCATTGGCAATGAGCGCAAAAATACTTTTAATGAAAGTTGGCACTTTGCTTTTTGGGTTTTCTCGGCTTGTTTGGGATTTTCGGTTTCTCTTTACTTTTTTGTCCATTTTGGTTTGTTTAGTTTTCCAGCATTTTGATTTGTGGCAGGCAGCCATGGAAAATGGTCTTGTGGTTGGTTGTCGAGGAGCATTTGCACAGGAGCTTTCGGTTTAGCTTTTAGCCGAGGTGTTTGAGCCAACTAATTGGATGTGGACAATGGATGGTTTATTGTCTGTGTTGCTACTGGGGATCCTTAATTGGTGGGCAGACATCAAAGCGGATCTATTCGGGGGCTGCAAAGTAAATCAAGTCAACTAAATCACAACCTGAGCAAGGAGAAATGATTTAATAAGGTTTCACCCACTTTCACTATCGATGAGGTTGACATTTTACGATGGTTATAAAAAAGTGGTTAAAAGAAAAAGGATTTCGAAGGTTATTAAGATGTTTTGATATTAATTACACTTCATGAAATAAACAAGTGATTTTATAGTCAAATTAACACGCAATTTTAATAATTTTTGGTTGTGATAAATGTTCATTGAAAGGTGTTAATATGTTAAGGATACTAATGCATGTTCTTGTGAAGACCCCAGTAAAAGTATCTAAGAAGTCACCGTTTAAAAAGAGTTCGTGTTGTGTTTATTTCTTCTCTTCCTTCTTGTCCTTTTCCTTGCCCTTGTCCTTATCCTTGTCCTTATCCTTGCCTTTGTCCTTGCCTTTGTCCTTGGACTGCTCCTCCTGTGCTTCTGCCGGTGGCGGCTCCTCCTTCTGTTCCTCCTCCTCCAACGGCGGAAGGCCCAAGTGCATCCTCGACCATCGAGGCATGTTGAATAGGCACCAGAAGGGAATGATCATCATGATAACCATGGTTCCGCCTCCCATGATAAAGCGCTGAGCACCGCTCATCGGAAACCGTGGTGGACCTGCCATGGGTATATAGCTGCGACACAAAGTCGATCGGAACTTTGGCGTCCCCATTTGGTTTAAGTGCTTCCGCACCAAAGAGAAACTCATGTTGGTTTCTGCGAATGATAAGTTTTAACTTTATATTGGTTTCAAATATACATTTAATAATTCAATTTACCAAAAAAATGTAAACGCCTGTGTGGATCAAAAGAAAATGATAAAATGCGAAGAAATATTTTTATGACAGTTCATCACCGAAATACGGAAGACGGAAAGCCTGCTGAAAGCTGAAAGAAAAACTCAGCAGGAAAAAATCGAGACTCGGTTCAAAAACAAAGGTTAAATAGGCATTAAAAATGCTAATGAAAGATATGAGCCCCGAGGCCCGATTCAATTCGAAACCGCAGACAGTGGCACTTGAGGAGAGATGTGAATATAATAAAATGTGCGATGAACTGCAAATGCCTGTGGATTAATGCGAAAATCTCCGATGTTTTGGATTAATTGAAGTTGAAACAACACAACAGGGCAAGCCGCTGGTGTTGTGTTTATCAATTTATTGCAACGATAAACGGAATAGTTGAATGATATTTATTAATGCCTTCATTTTGGTAGGCTGAAAGATTGAAGTTATATGTAGTTTTACATATGTCTAATTGCAGACGATTTCCAAATATCCAAAACTAATTCTTGAATTGTATTTTATTTTAATTTTATTGTTATAGAAACCTTTTTTTTGAGCTCTTAAATTCAAAATTTTAAACCGCGCGAATCCAAGTAGGGTTGTCTACTCTTACAAATCAGGGATTTTAGCTAAGACATACACCAAAGTGCCGGCTACTGCCTTAGCAAGCTCTTAAAAGCTGATTGGTACAAAACTATTCATTTAGTTCAAGGAATGCCCACCTGAAAATTTTAAGAACAGTGTCGCTTTTCTTCTTTGCAAGAGGAAATTAAATTTGAAAACAAATAATTACTTTTATCAGAGAAAACTACCGTCAAAAATGCTTAAAGAATGTTAAAATTAATTTTTAAGGAATGGATATGCTACAAAAATGCAGAATGATTATCAATGTATTTTAATGCAATTAAAAAATGCATTCCCAAGGCCTTTAATCATAACATTTTGAAAGCTTTGAAAAAGAGAAAAAAATATCTCTCTCTATATGTTAAAAAAAATATTTTTGTAAAATACCTAAACGACACAAATCTTCAATTAACCCTTTGCTGCCCGGATCCGATTTATTTGATATCCTTTTCGTATTGCGCTCGCGGCCTTTTAGTCCCGTTCTTTGGGGTTCCCATTCGCTCCTCCTTTGTCGGAGTTTTATTTTTTGTGTTTTTTTTTGGCTGTTGCTTTGGCAATATTTTTCAAGTTTCTTTTAACATACTTTTCGTCGCTTAAGCTACGACAAATATTTTGATAGATGAGCTTAAGCACTCACCGAAGCCGTCGTTGATATTTGAAACTGGGACCTGTCCCGCTTTGAGTTTGCTTACAAGTGGCCGTTTCGCCTTTTTCCGCCAACGACAGTATACCACCCCCTCCCACCTACCATCCCACTCCCGCAGGTTTGCCAAATTTCGCCCCCATTACACACCCACGTTTCCCCGCATGTCCTGCGCCAGATCTTCTTTACGGTGTTGTGTTTGCTCTTTGTGCGGCAGATGAAGTTTCGAGTGCAAGTTTTTAAGCGAGTTTTGTGCGAGAGTTTCGCTTTAAAGATTAAAGCGGAAATGCAAGGTGTTCGTGGGAAAGTTCTTTCTCAGGGAAATTTCCTGTTTGGGCGTGCGATTCCAGGGAAATAGGATTAATGAAGCTTTCATCGAGTATGGAGGAAGGAAAAGGAGTTTCTTGTAAACATGGGAAAGTTTATTTGGAAGTACTTTATGGGAAGATTCAAAAAGATATTAACATTCATACAGTGAGGGTTAAAATAAAGGTTATTCCATTCATTGAAAACTATCAAAATTTCCAGCTCAATCTGAAGATTTAAAAATAATCATTTTCCCTATGTCCTGCTGCTCTCTGGCTCTCATAAACTTGGAGAACTAGAGAAAAGTGGAACAAAAACTACACCAATAACAAAGAAATCTGGAACAGAGGGAAAGTATAAAGCGAGATAAGTTTTCAAGCCGGAAAATTACACAACTTACCCGGGAGCGGGCGGGTGTAAAAAGGGGGGTAGGGGAGGAATCTAAGGCCAGGGATCAAGCAGCAAAACAGGGCCTATGAATATTTACGATTAGACGCAGGACTCGCATTCAGACAACATTGTGAAGGACTCATGCATATGTATGTATTATATGCATACAGATGTGTGTGTGTGTGTACGGGCGGAAGTGGAAGTGAAAATGGCACACGCAGTGTCCTCCAACTAAGTCTCCCTTTTCAGCCACTTGGATCGCTGCCAGCTTGTGTCCCCGTGCATGGGAATGTGTGTGTGTATGAGGGTTAGTGTGCCAGTGTTGGTGTGTGATGAGCAGAGGACAGTCCTGAGTCCTGCTGACACTTGAGTGGAGACAGACAACCACTTGACTGCTGACTCGCCCCGAACAGCCAGGACAACAACAGGACGAGGCGCTACCGGAAATAGGAAGAAGGAGTAGGATTGGGGTAAGATGCACACCTGCGGTCGAGTCCCTATTACTGGTTTATTAATTATAGTTAATATCACAAAATTTCACGATATTTTGGCTAATTTTGTGTTTGGTTTATTTTTTACTTTTATTATTTATTTAGCTTATCACGTTTTATATAGATGTAGTTACATATTTAAGCAAAAGTCTCTCCTATTCTGTTGACTGCCACCGTTTATGGAGTTAGTCACGGCATATCCTTGTGCCGAGGACATTAATGTGCGTAACTTGGACAATTACCACAATGAAAATGACTAAGAAAGAAGTTCGTCGAGTGGTTTGGGCAGCGAAAGATAGTAGTTTTAGGGACAGCAGAATTTAGTGCACAAATATTTGCAATAAGCGGAGGCTAGAGAGAAGAAAAGGATATAGCTGGCCAGGCCAGGCCAGGCCAGGCCAGGCCAGGCTGCAACAGCAGCAGATGAAGATCCCAACAATAAAAATCCAAATGAAAGCCAATGGTAAATATGATGGAGGACCCAATGAATGGCAGACTCGATACACGAGAGCTCACATCCACTCTTGATGCCTGTAATTACATGGGGATTTAAGTGGTTCGGGATTGTAGTTGTTATTTTCGTTTTGGTGGTAACAATGCAAGGAGTCCTCGCTGGGAAAACACAGTGAAAGGAAAAGAGCGAAAATAAAGTGAACTAGACTCGCATCAAATGTGATTTGAGGCGATGAAGTGAAAGTACATATCGGTCTTAATTGAAAGTAGAAGCCCAGCGTTTGGCAGCGGCTCAGGCTTAGCTTGGCTTTTTTTGTGGGGATTATGTTCTTTAAACCATTTTTTTTTATGTTGCACATGAAATGGTGGAAAAGCCTGGCTTATAGTAATAGGTTCTGTAGAGGGAAAAAATTGTGTGGCCACAGGTTTTGAAGATTCGCTATTTTATGTTTGTAAACCTTCACCTTTGTTTCTTTAACTTTCTATAATTCCACTTCGTGGACCAAACTCTGCAGATACACTTCGAAAAGATCTGATAACAAGTGCACAACAGGACTCTCCCACCTCAGGGCTATTTGTTGTTCGTGTTGCCCAAACTATTTGCTCATTTCACATTCAGTATTTTTTGCTACTTTGGCCCACTCATTTGGCAATTGTCTTTTACATGGAAATGTGGCCCGGGATTTCATGCACCAACGCCCAAAATGTGTTAGCCTAAAGGCAGGCAACACTTTATATTTTTTTTTACTGTTGTGCTGTTGGTCGGAATTGGGTTGGTGTTCTCAACCAACGCCCGGGGGTATGCAACAGCTTGTGTTAATCACTTGCCCAAAAGACCTTAATGAGCACAACTACAACACAAAAAGCAAAAGCTGGATATAATAAAGGCGTCCAGTTTTCCGACTATAATATACCCAATTTCATGAAGAGCTTATCAGGCGCACTGCATAAATCACTTGTGGTTTTTAAGCTCCCAAATGGGCGTCGAAAAGTATGCTGTGAGTTTACCATATAATGCAATTACTGCACTTTTAAGAGATTACAAATCTCTAGAGATATCCTTGTCTTATTTTTCTATATGATTTCTTTGGGTTAAAAGAACAAATTTAGAATCTGTTTTAGAAAAGTCTTTGTAAATTGTAAATATTATGAATAAACTATTAACTAGATGAAACCAGTTAATATTACTAATAAGTTATATCAAAAGTAGCTTACTTTATCATCAAATTTCATTCATTCGAGTACACTCTTCAACTACCTGGTATAAAAGAAGGCGAACTACCCAACATTATCATTAAAAAAATCAATTTGCAATTATGTGTACCGAAAGTGTGAGAGCTTTATAAAAAAAGTGACAAAAATTATATCACGTTGGGTGAAATGTATAAATTTTACAGCGTAAGTGAAAAATGTGTTAAGTGCATTAATATTAAATTTTATTTTCCCATGACCGTCTGCGGAAAAATGCGGGCCGTGTGTGGGTCCGCACACATCCCGAGCCTACATATAATACACGTTCATATATTTGTATGTATATATGGATAGGCAGGCCTTAACACGAGGATTCTGCTCTTTTTCATTATGTGAGCCCAAGCAGCACCAACAACAATCACTGCGACAGAAGCAACAACAACAAGAAGAACAACTGTTAAGGCCCGGGATTAATGCGAAAAGATTTACATGCGAAATCAGTAGAGGCACAGCAATGTGAGTCACTGTGAGTAAACAAAAGGGAATTTATCAAGGAATATTGAGAATTATTAGCACAAGCAATAAGGTATCCATTTTTGGTACATCTATTAATGTAAATTTAATTTTAAAACATGTTTTAAGTATTTAGTTTTTAAAGTAGCAAACTTCATGAATACTTTTCCTATTATACTTTCTTTGATCCCATATTTATTATTTTAGAAGCTTAATCACTTTGCCCCATTCACGAGGGTACTAGTACTAGGTACTTTCCATTAAAGAAATGTCAAAAAAAAGACATAAAAACAGCCAGCAATGTCGCAACATG